AGGTGGTTTTCTAATCCTAGTCGTTCTGGAAGTCGGTCAAGCAGCTTGAGATCCACACCACATGAGGAACTGGAAAGGCTAGCAGGTAAGACTGTAGGACAATACATGGTCAGATAGCCTCCTTCCATATTCCGTCCTACTCATTCAATAAGAAGATGGCAGATAAAGCTTTAGGATAATGAATTCTCCCACAGTTTAAACACTTGACATTCTTTTGGAAGCTCTTTGAGTAAGCAGCTATAAGTTCTTTTTTTATAAATGTTCTTATCACGCTCCTGATGACTTTCCAGCTGATCTTGGGCAAGGGGTGTGAGGCATAACTTGTCAGTGACATATTGAAGTTGGTTACCAGTGTATGCTCATCTTGAGACATTGGGTTGGTAAACTGATGTCGCAGTGCTCCTGGTTTTGCTGTTTCAGGTCTAGAGCAAGCCATTCTCTCCCCTGGCCAGAACTCTGGAAACTACTTTGCTCCCATTCCATTGGAAGACCACTCTGAAAACAAAGTGGACATCCTAGAAATGCTACAGAAAGCCAAAGTGGATTTAAAACCTCTTCTCTCAAGTCTTTCAGCCAACAAGGAAAAGCTTAGAGAGAGCAGTAAGTGCCTCTTCAGATATTGTCAAGTTCTTGTGATGCAGTATCTCAAGGCAAGAGGCTTGGTATTCTGGAAACCTCAACTGCTGAGTCCAGGAGTAGGAAGTGTTATAGGTTTACTTACACTACCAGTGTTCAACAAACTTCAGTTGTGTCAATATCATCACTGATTCTTTTCATCCTAATCACAGGATGACATCAGGATTCTGTCAGACCACTTTACTGGCCAGTAATAATCATGAGTTAAGATGGTGCAAGTCTGAGTTTCCAGCTTTGTCTATGGCATTTACATAAGCTTTTCATACCAGAGACGGGTAACGTCAGTTCTGAAACTGTCATTTAAACTCTGGCTTTACCAAAAACTTAGTGTAATTCATTCTTGCAAGCATCTATAATGGATCACACTGATCCATTAAGTATCAGTATCTAAAAAGATGAACAGTGGCTTGAGGATGTCAATTTTTTCAAGTGTGTACTGTAAACTTGAACTTCTCAAGACTGCTGTTAGCACTTGAAGCACAGTGATCTGTGCTCACTGTTCAGTACATTAATTAAATAATTAACATAGAGGTACAACATAAGAACTGATTTGTCTTAGTTATGCTAACTTGGCTAGAATCATGGGATTCCGGGGAACTTTGTTAGAATTCACTTTTGCTGGCATCAGCTGTTCTAAACAGAGTTCAGGGCTGACTTTAAACTTAATGTTCAAGGGCACCTCTAAGTTAGGCATTTGCATGTTTGGGCCCATAGCATGCATGGAGGGTACAGAATGCATGTGTTCTTGGAAATCTCCAGGTCTAATTCTAAATTGGTTTCTCTTTGGCAAGCAGCATGTATTGCCATGTAAACCGGATTGAACAAAAAGTGATGCTACTCTGATTTGTGTGAAGTAGCTAGGAAGGAAAGCATCCAAGCACTGCAAATATTCTTAAGTGTCCAGTCTGGGAGTAGGGACTGTTGGCTAACATGTGGAGAACTTAAATAGAACTACAAGTCTCTTCTGTGTTCTGCTTGGTCTGACTTTCCTACTAAAAGCTTTTGAAACGTTGATCCTTACAAACCAAGGATGAAGGAACAAAAACTGTTGGGGAAGCTTCCATTCACTCAAAAGTAGCTGATGTGGGTTCTGTATTCCCATAAAATGCTGTACAGTTCTTCAAGAGTTGTGGAGTTTTCAGGTCAATTCCTCTCTACCAACATCTTATTTTTTTCCTCATGTTCCATACTGCATGTCTGCATCATTGTTTCCTTTTTCCACCTTCTTGCCCAAATTTCCAGTAAATCTTATTTCTTTGAGCCACCATCTGCTACAGCAACCCATGGCATGCTTCTGTCTCTTCTTCTTTCTCTCAAGGTGTCACACCTTGTAATGTGTGTTAGCTGGTCCATAAAGCATGTTTAGCCTTGATGTCAGGCACTGATATTTATATATGCATCCACAGGAAAAACGTACTGCTTAATAACATTTGTACCTTATTCTGGTCATGCCAGCGAATCTTTCTATAGTGGCTTTAATTTCTGAGCAAAAAAATCTATTTCAAACTTTATGCACACCAAACTAAGCATGTAACTGAGTCTCCAAAGTATCTAAAATTTCCAGGTATGTATTCTCTCTACTTACAATAGCTTCAGGCAATTTGACATCACTTATGCTGTGGCTTTAAGACTGTCTGGTCTCTTGGAGTATAAGATAAATGAAACTTTCCTAATTGAAAAGCAACAAACTCGGATGAATTTGTTCTATTAAAAGAGGGTGAAGCTGTAAAATGTAACAACATGCCTTGCAGGATAAATGAAAGCTAGTAAGAACTTAACAGTTGAAACCTAAAAAGGTTCTTACCTGCTTGTAGTTGTGCCTGGCAATACTCCTAATTTGGATATCGGAATATCAGTCTAATCACAGGTTAGATGTGGCTTGACAGCTAGTATGAGTATCAGAAAATAAATGTTTCTGTTCCTTATTTTCAAACAACTTGTATTCAACACCTGCACAGGAATTACTAGCTCACTTGTAAACAGCAGAACCATGGTTTACCAGTATTTCTCCTGTATTTCTCAGCGCATTCAGGAGTTGTACTTTCAGTGGAAGAAGTCGAAGCTGGGCTAAAAGGCCTGAAAGTGGATCAGGAGGGGAAAATTGCTACTCCATTTATGGCTGAACAAATGGAGGAAGCATTGAATGTTGCTGGCTCCAGACAGATCAAGAAAGATGGAGATATGACTGCGTTTAACAAACTAGTCAGCAGCATGAAGGCAAGTGGGACTCTACCTTCACAGCCCAAAGTCAATGTAAGTATCAGACACTTGGCTTGTCTGAACTGTGCTAAGATGTGGGTTATGAACTGGAAACCCCTTACATGAGCCCTCTGATAACATGTGAGCCTCGACTGGCACAGCAGGATGATATTACATATAGCCTTACATTTAGAATATTGTTTCTTGGAGGGGAAAGTAAGAGAGGTACTTAGGTTGTTTTCCCCTAGCCAAAGTAAATGAAAGTGGGGCTTTTTTCAGTTCAGAGTTCACAGGGTTTGATTTCCTGTTAAGTTTCTGAAAGCCTCAGCACTCTAATACTATGCGAGATGTCTAATAATTGGCACCTTGAAAGTGAACCTCTGTGTATAACTAGTCCAATTGATTAATATCTGGACTTGAAGACTATAAATACTTGCCCCCAAAAAAATCTTATATGATGAAGAGGCTGAATCTTCTACTATAGAGGACATTTTGATTAGTGTCTAAGATTCTCCTACACTTGAACTCACCTTTCAGAACCCTATTTAATAAAAACAAATACATCTGTAGAAATAGGTGCTATTTAACATATGTCATCAGTCCACTCTTCGTGGAAGATTTGCTAGTGTTAGTTTAATGGTTGCCTCAGTGCTGCTATTTTAGGCGTCTCTTTTATCATACTTGTAGTATGGGTACAGCTAACACTTACCTGCAGCTCGGATGTCTTGATTTAGTGACTTTTGTTTTGATAAAGGTATGTCACTGCACCATCTAATATTTTAAAACTGTTTGCACTAAGATAAAACAAAACCGAGTAGTTGTTAGCTGAAAGATTAATAGTAAACAACAGATGATACTAAGCTTTAGACTGGGAGAGAATGCAGTATGAAATTTCATCCTGCAACTAACTGGCTAAACAGTGTGCTTGACCCAGAAGCTATCAATACCTACTTCTGGTACCATGAAAGACTTCTAGTAGCCAAGTAATTCTAAAGCATCTGTTTTTCCTGCCAGACTCTACCCAAGGACTTTTAGCCTCATCCCACTTCACTAAAAGATAGTGAAGAATGTAAACTTGGCCTGTGAGAAATTTGCAGACTGATTTCACACTTAAACTGAGACTTTCATTTCTGGCTGTCTCTTTACATTGCCATGTAATTTTGATGCATAAAATAATATCTTAAATAATTTCTCTAATATATGAACACTTTTCAGTTTGTGCATAGTTTCAGTTGACCACTTGGTGCAATGTTTCATCTGTAGGTTACACAATCATATAAATTCATATTATCTTACTCAGACTTGAATAAGGCACATTGAACTGCCTGTATGCAATCCAGCACTAGGCATTTTCTCAGCTAGGGGAGATCTCTGAGCCAGCTCAGCCCTTGACTTTGCTGGAATTTTATTTGGATAATGTATAAACTATGGTTCAAATGGAACAGGTGGAATTATTTCTGTCACTGAGACAAATGTGGCTTGTCTCTTAATCAGTCTGATGCTTGTTGTGTCTACATCTAATTTGTAATGTTTTCACTTTCCTAGCAGAGCCTTGAGAGCCACTTAATGTCACCTCCAGAGATGCCAGGCCAACCTCTATCAAAGAATATTCTGCAGGTACTTCTTACTGAGGGGAAAAGTACTTAAAGGGGCATCCCCAATAGGAAAACAAAAATTATTTGAAAATAAGACATTTAAGGCAATCAGGAGGTCAGGAGTCAGACATGACTCCCTATAGAGGAAAGAGAACTAGTTGCTAGTTCAGTTTACTTAAAAATTTGTCTTGTCATGCTATTTTCCCATGATTACAACTTGAAAAACCTGATTAAGTGCCTAATTCTAAGGGCAATTCAGAATTGGTGTATCTAGTTGCACACATCCACCTTGCATCTTTAACGTGCTATAAATAGTGCAGCCTGTAGTATAGTAAAATGATCTCACTTTTATAAATCATATTCTGAACATTCTTTCATTAATTATTTTTAGGAACTTCTTGGTCCACCCATTACCAGACCTGCTTCATCAAATGTCTTAAGTGGCCTGATAGGTGGTTTGGAACCTGCAGCCTCTTTACTGACACAAAGAGCACCTTCTCCCCCTATTCCACCCGTGTTTCCAACTCGAGCTGCTTCTGCAGATTACCTGCGCCATAGAATATCTTCACCCATTGGTGAGACTGGTTTCAAAACAGTTTGGGTTTTTTAATTACTTAAAATAGTTTTTAAAAATACTTCATAGAACAATAAAAACTTCCTGGCACTTGGTGGACAGCTAAGTCAGTGTCTGCCTCTTGAGTGTAAGATTCCTTTTTTACTTGCCTCTAATGTTAAATTAATCTCCAAAATGTAGATACCTGATCCACTAGGCCTCACAGTAAATTCTGCTGTGGAATAATGTGTTCAGCTACTGTGTAGGAAGCCAGTTTTCAGGGACTACTTGGCCATTTGTATTGCAAAACACTACTGGTAGCCTCCTTGTAGCTCTTCAGCCTAGTGACAAGGAAGAGACTCTATGTAGGTTAAGGGATGAGCTGAGAGTCTTCACAGGGAATCCTTAATTTGTGTAGAATTGTTTATCTTAGGGATATATATATTGAAAGAAACTGTTAGTCCTTTTAAATACAACTGTTGAATATTCTTTAGGTTTTGGACAAGGTTCTCAGCAATTGCTTGGGGATCCATTTCCAGGTGTAAGGAAGCCCATGAGTCCAGTTGCTGCACAGGTTAGATGAAATGCTTTTCACTTAATGTGATTTTAATCTCTCTTTATATTGTGTGGTTTAGAACTAACTTGTGGAAACACCTACTTAGCTGTTCTGTTCAGATATTTATGCTTAATTCAGTTTGCTGAATGTGAGGGTGCAGAGTCTCAAAACCTCATTGCAATTGAACCCATCTCAGAGTACTTCAAGGACAAGATTTTCTGAAACTTTTGTTGAAACTATTGTCTGTCAATAAAACAGATGGCTGTTGATGGGCAGACATTTTGTGTAGACATTAGTAGCTATAGCAGTAAATCTTAAGTACCTTTTAAAAAAACCCAGTCAAATACAAGCTTTGATTTGTGTGGTTTTTGTATAACTCTGCTTCAGATGAGTCCCTTGGAAATACAGCAGGCTGCGTTAGAGGGACTAGCGTTGCCACATGACTTAGCCATACAGGCAGCAAACTTCTATCAGCATGGCTTTGGAAAACCACAAATGGACAAAAGCAGAGATGGCTACAGAAACAGGTGAGTATCTGACTGCAAAATGTAAGGAGTATGCTGTCAACTGGTCTTTAATGTATTTTCTTTCACTAGAGATTAGTACTAGTGACTCAAGCTTGTACTGGTTCTTGGCAATCCTGCCTTCCATTCTGTGCCAAGAGTAGAGCTGCTTCTTACTGACTTCCTGTCTGTTAACAGGCAGCAGCGAGTGGCTAAATCACCTGCACCAGGACACAGAGGGAATGCATCTTCTCCAGCCCCTACAGCATCCATTACTAGCATGGTCAGTACTTAATGTATAATGATTGTAGAGAAAAATCTGTCACAAGTGTCTACAGTAACTGGATTACAGCAGTTGTAACTGATGGGAGGAAGGGAGGCCATGGAGTTAATCATATTCACGTTATATCAGTGGTGACGTGATACAAGAATGAATTACGCCTCATGCTTAATTGGATGTCTTCACTTTGGAAAACAGCCTTTTCTGACCACTGTCTTATCTAAAAACTGAAGAAGCACCATTAATATTACCTTGGCCTGGTCTTTTGAAACTGAAATAAGATAACTATGAAAACTCAGGCTCTTGTACTTTGGTACTGAAGTCTTCAGAAGACAAGTGCTGAAAGCCATTAGCTTCCTCAGAGAACACTGGTCTTCAGCTAAGTGTCTGTAGGTTGAAAGATTACCTAGGAGCCTCTCAAAGCCAAGGTGTTGCCTCACTGCCTTCAGTACTAGGTAGAATGCTGCTTTGATCTGAATTTTCCAATTAATTGGTCCAGTACTTGCTTGCAGCTCGGGACCAACACAGACTATCAGCTGTTAAATCAAACAAGTACTTTTGTTTGTGTACCAAATGGGTGACTTTCACAGATGCTGTGTAACTGAATGGGGAAAAAATACAAATGAGGCAATAGTTTTCTGCAGATCAGTCAGTCCTGAGTTAATACAGGTAAGGCAGCTCTGAGGAACTCCTGTTGAGCTGCTGTTCTGAACCAATGGCAAAGAAATCAGCAGTAATTTAAAATACAGCTCATCTGTTTTGTTCCAAGCCTGTTAAGGTACATTTAACTTTGAGAACATTTGCTGGCTTTAATTAAAGGTATCAGATTTCTGTAAAAGCTAAAGAGAAGTGCTTAAACTATAGAATAAATCTATGAAATGAGGTGAAGTAAAATCACAGGCACACAGTGGCTGATTCAGAAGAGCTTTAAACGGAAAGATGTGCTAGAATTGGTGTCTACCCACATCTAAGGTAGTGTGGCCTAAATAATCAGCACTGAGTAAAACATTGCTTCATACTATGTTCTCTGCAGCTCTCTCCTTCCTTTACACCTACCTCGGTGATTCGCAAGATGTATGAGAGCAAGGAAAAAAGCAAAGAGGAGCCTGTTTCTGGGAAGATGAAAATCAGTGATGGTAAAGATGAAAATCAGAGGCCAAATGAAGGTATTGTAATGGCTTTAAAATTACACACACAAGAGAGATTTGGAATAGGATCAAAAAGCTTCAGCACATAATGTGCCCAAGCTAACTTTAGACATTCCTGATTCATGGAAATGAGGAGAGTGTAGAAATGAGCCTGTAATAAGAGGAAGGGTTAGAGCTATGGAGGGGACACACTTCCAAGTGCAGTCTTCCAGCAGTGTTGGGTTTAAATCCACTTTTTTTACCTGTCAGTTTGGGAGCAGTAGTGACATTAAGAGGCCTGGACCAACACTGTTTCTTTGCAACTGATCTTGATTAACAAGCATATTAACAATAATGCTCCCATATCTCTCCACACCAGTAACTGAACACAAGCACCTTACAGCTCCCTTGAGACATCTTAACTAAACAGTCAAAGATGAGACCAATTAAGCTCTTTTAAGTGTAGCAGATCAAGGAAGCATTTTGTCACCCTAACTGATGTAAGTGGCTGTTAAAGGAAACGCTTGATACTAATTGTCTGACCCAGTATGACTAACATGCCTAACTGCCATGACATTTACTTCAGTGCTGGTCACTACAGAGGTAGCTTGTTGCTCCTATTGTACTGTTAGTTGACATTTTTCCTTTTAGCACTCCAACTATGACTGCTACTGGTAGCAGATGATTCAAAGATATTTTAGGCCTTGTCTAGCTGATCTAGATGGTCTGTGGAAGTAGCTTCCTGAGGTGTTTTAGTGTTCAAATCTTGCTAAGCAGATGTCAGACATAGAAAGCTGCTGCTAACCCCTAGACACATCTAAACAGAAAAACCACTTCGGGCTAGATTTCTGAGATAACTCCAAATCACAGTGTTGTCTAGGGATGATCCCTTGTACCTCCTGTCTCCTTTGGGACTGACTCATCCATGCTGCCAGTTCAAATTTCTAAAGAAGGAGGAAAGATAAGAATTAAAGGTGGAGTTACTGCCAATTCTGACCTAATTTAAGCTCACTGTCAAGGGATTTCTGTGGAACATATTCCTTCTCATTACTATTTTCAAATAATTTTGCCAAAAGCATCCAGGAAAGACAGATGCTTACTATAAAATATATATGACTAAAGTTCATATATATAAGTTCAGCTAGTCCTGGAATCTGGCTATCAAATCCGGTCATTAGCTTTAATTTTCAGTAGGTGTAATCTCTAGCTGTGGACTATAATAGTTGTATTCAATTCTAGCTACAGATAACCTACTGTCTAGTTCTGTGGAGAATGCAGATCAAGAAACTTTGCCCACCTTAGGTACCAAACTACCTGCACTGCAACGCTCTGCATGTTCCACACCTCTTACCCAAGCAAATCGTTGCACCAAAGAGCAAGACTACAGGCCTAAATCAACTGGTAGAAAGACTCCTACAATGGCCTCCCCAGTACCAGGAGGCCCTTTTCTTCGTCCTGTTCATCAAGTACCCCTTGTTCCCCATGTACCAATTGTACGACCTGCTCATCAACTGCATCCAGGATTGGTCCAGAGAATGCTGGCGCAGGGGGTTCATCCGCAACACCTTCCTCTACTGCAAGCAGGTAATCCATACTTGTTTCCCTTAAGTTAATGCATGTTCTCTGTAAGACTGTGTTAGGAACAGCACAAACTGCTACTCCTTACTGGTAATGTTTATTACATCAAAACTTACCTTTAAATCCAGGCAATAAATTCCAACCTGTCTAAATACAGAAATGTTTATTTTGCTTTAAGTTCCTTGTGCTTATTAAGTAAGAAGTTTCCTCACTCTTGTTCAACAGGTATGCTTCCTCCTGGAGTGGACCTGTCTCACTTGCAGGGAATATCTGCTCCCATCCTTGGCCAGCCTTTCTACCCGCTGCCAACAGCCAGCCATCACATGTTAAATCCACGCTCTGGGACACCTTTGCAGCTAGCGATGATGCAACAGCAGTTACAACGATCAGGTAGGCCAAAATATAAAGCTGGGGAGGGGCTTTTTACAAAGGCAGGTAGTGATAGAACAAGGGGAAATGGCTTTAAACTGGAAGAGGGGAGGTTTAGATTAGATATTAGGAAGAAATTCTTTGGTGTGAGGGTGGTGAGACACTGGCCCAGGTTGGCCAGAGAAGCTGTGGCTGCTCCTCCCTGGAAGTGTTGAAGGCCAGGCTGGATGAGGCTTTGAGCAACCTGGTCTAGTGGAAGGTGTCCCTGCTGATGGCAGGGGGGTTGGGACTGGATGAGCTTTAGGGTCCCTTCCAGCCCAAACCAGTCTGGGATTCTATAAAGCAGGAGCGTGAGGTTTAGAACACTGACTGGCCTGCTCTGTACTATACTTGTTGGCCTGTTTCAGTATACTGGGCTAACAGGAAGCTACTTTGGTAATCTATATATTTGTAATCACTACTGTTGTGTGGGTATCAGGACAGTTTTGGCTACTGCAGGCTCTTATGCCAGAAGAAAGTCCCAAGTGAAGGATTCAGTTTCAAGATACGTGTTGCTATTGACAGACCTTCCTTTTGCAGTGCGTGTGCAGTCTCCTTCCTTGCTGGGTGAGAGAGGCCACCCATTGTCTCAAATAAAAAGCTATTTGATGCTGATGTTCCAGTTAAAACCTACATGATGCTGTGTCCAGAACTGGCAGTGTCAGGCAGTTTATGGGAGTACTAACCAGAATAAACATGTGGGGTCTGGATTTCCCAGGGCTCATAGAATGAGTGAAAGCCACATGCAGCTCATGTGCCTCATCAGGTGATTGCCCTAGGCCAGATCTCAGTGTTGGGTGAACATATTACTCCACCTCTAATAGCTTTACATTTCACAGGCACTGGAGCACAGGGATCACCCACTGGTGCACAAACAGCCTCTCAGAACGTGCTGTCTCGGACTGGATTATCTCATGGGCACACACAGCTTGACCATCGCCCCAGCCAGAGAAGTGGCTCTCCCATTGGCCTTGCAAAATGGTTTGGTTCAGATGTCTTGCAGCAGCCTCTCCCTTCCATGCCATCCAAAGTCATCAGTGTAGATGAACTGGAATACCGGCAGTGAACAGTGACCACTGGGTGGGACACTTGTGATTCTTTAGACTGGATAAAAATGTCCATAGTCAGGACTTCACCTCTGTTTGTTTTTTGGGGCTTTTATTTTTAGCACTCTGTGCAGAATTTCTTTTTGAGAGACTAAAGCACATGGCACCTGTCCTGGTCTCATGTCTGCATCAAGACTAAAGGATCCATTGTGGCTTGAATAGTGAAGCCTGAAGAAATTTAGATGCAAGACAAAGCCAGTTTAATTCTGGAAGTGTCTATTTTTTGTTTTTGTAAGATATGTGAATGAAGTGCTGATATTCTCCAGTGTAGAGGTAGCAGCTATGGATTCCTCCTGCAGAAAACTAAATGTATAGACCCTTGTGTACAGACTTGTGTATAAACAATCTTTTGTATATATACACATAGAATAGCCTTTTTGAATCTATACAGCTGTACATAAGAGTAGCTGGTAACAGTTGAGCTTTAGTTGTGCCTATGGTTTGGATCTTTCTCCATTGTACATGTGGGACTTTCTTTAAGATTAAAGTTGCATATCCTAAATGTGAGTGAACAGGATAAAGTTGCTTTGCCTTTTCTTGCTGCTCATCTCCTCTAGGTCTCCCTCTCACATTCTTCTGTCACATACTGTGCTAGCTCAAGTGTCAAAGTAAAAAGCCCACGTCTTGCTCTCTGTATAACAAAGGTCCGATTCCTTGTGTGTATGACTCTTGCCATCAAATGAGTTTTGTTTAGTCTTCAAACAGCCTTGAGGATGGGACCTCCTACAGGAACAATAAAACCAGATCTTCAGTCTGCCATAAGCAAAGAGACTGTAGGTACCTACTGGTCATAGCTCTTTCAAGAAGGCTGGTGCAGTATTTTCCTTGTTTTAATCTTTCAAACCAGTTACTAAAGGTCATCAAAATGGAGCCTTTGAATCCTCACCCTTCAGCTCCTGAGTTACAGCTGTGGTATGTTCTACTCTGCTTTCAGTTCTATTGATAGAAGGGAGTCCCAAGAACTGTCCTCAATCTAGTGTGCATCAACTGATGGATGCAATTACTGTGAAACTTGCCTTTGGAGTCTTGTTCTGTGGCTTGAAAGGGGGAGGATGGGGTTGTTTTGTGATCTTACTGTGTATATTTGGTTTTAAAATACTATGTTCCTTTTAAGCCTGTTTCACTTTCCTGAACAGATAAGTGTTCTCTTCCATCCTTCTACTGCATGGTTCCTCACTTCACTTTCTCACTTGTGTTGAGTCTAGTACTGCTGTCATGTCCTCTATCTAGCTTAGGCCATTGTGCTCTTTTAAAAAAGGTGAAAGCAAAACCAGAATTATCACGGACTTGCTCTTTCTTAGGTCTCACTGAATGCAAAACCAGCAGCAGGAAAAAAAAAAGTAATCACTTGACTGTATTATAACAATTGCCAGCATGCTGTGGTGGGTTTGGTTCAGTCCAGCAGAGACAATGTTGTACAGAAATAGCAAGCTGAAAATTTCCAATGTGGAATCTGTTGGGGGGTCACCCATACTTCTAGTGGTTGTTCCTAAAACAATCTGTGTAAAACATGCAATCACCAGCTTGTCCTTGTAAGATTGTTTTCATACTTTTTTAACTTGACACTTTCCCAGTAACATTCTGTAAATAAAGTTGATTCTACCAGCTGTCTGTATCAACTGCTCTTGAACTAAACTATAATGGCAGTAACTGATTCATTTTTAGCATTGTTCTTGTGTGTAAGCTAAAACCATGTTCTGCAGAAAACTTCAACTTTAGTTTATCTTCCATGTGTGGGGAGAGGACCAGTCTGCTCTAGTGAGGCCAGTTACCTCCATCAAAGACATACAGTGGAACTGCTGTATTTAAATGTTTTGTACAGCCATGGTTAAGTGCAGGCAATGAGATTCCAGTGCACTAGCAGAACCTGTAAAACAAACCAGCTCTAAAGAAAGAGTGAATGGGGTTCACTTTGGCTCTGTTCTGCACAGCAGCAGCTCACTTAGGTAGGAACCTAAGCTTAAAAAAAGTATTAGGGAAAATGCTTTTTTTTACCAGGCTGAGTAGCAACCACTGTTGCAAGGATTTAGTGCTTGAAGGAGTGTCTGAAATCAGTGTACTTCTCTTTACATTTTACATGCATAGTAACATCAAAGGGAGCATTTTTGATACATTTAACTAAGCACTCTCTCCTTTTTGTAGGAGAGCAAATGCTAGAGGCTAAGGCATTTGATAAGCTTTTTGCTCATGTTAGAGCTCCTAATTTTATTCATTTTATTAAAAAGTAACAGAACCACTGCTTTGAGAGGAGCCTGCTTCTCTGTGCAACTTACTTGACTTCTCTAAACTAAGCAGGAAATTCTTTTAAGAAAACTTAAAAGCTCAGTCATGAACACAAGTATCTAGTTTACTTCCACTTGTATAAACAACTGAAAAAGTGACTGCTTATGAGCAGAACCTCCAGTCTTTTCCCCAACCACAGGACTATTAATAGTCTTGAAGTATTCAAACAAGAACATTTCAGATTAAGGCAGCCAGAGCTAGAACTCTGTATCCTCTAGCATTGTTTCACAAGATAAGGTTCTCCAGCCTCTGCTTTTCATCTTTTGTTCTAATCCCTAATGTGTGAATTTTTTTCCCAATTGGATAGACATGTACATGCAGCAGATACCAAACTTCTTGGTAAGATTTTGCCCTTGTGAAAGTCTCACTTAACATGAGTTTCTCATCTGTAAGTTCTGCCAGAATGGGACACTGCAGTACAAGTTGACCAGGAACATGAGTTTTGCCATGCAGTAAGGGACTACCATAAAAACCCCATTTCCTCTAGGTTTGAAAGAAATGGCCTGTTCTTTGTCACTTACAACTAAAGACAAATTTCAGGCACAGTGGCAAACAGTGTCAGAGCAACTTTATTTCTTCACAATCTGAATAACATCCTCATCTTCAAGAGTATGGTCTTTACCAACTTTTTGAGGGTTATGTTTAACAGAGGAACCCCAGACCAGTGCACTGAAAGGAGAAAAATACCAAATTGAAAAGGCTTAGAAGTATAATACACAAACAGCAGAACAAAAGCTATTTTAGTCACCAAACTAATACAGAAAGCAATGCTTAGGAGCTATTTTTATTCTCCTACAACTACCTGGATGAGTGGTCTGTGTGAAACAGAGTACAAGCAGATCAAAGCATGAAGTCATCCAAAATACTTAGGCATACAGGACAATGGCCTGCAATGTTGCATCTGGCCCTACTTTCATATCTAAAGAAAAACATCTTCCTTGTAAAAGAAATTTATGCAGGAAGGCATAGGAGTATCCAACAGTAATGGAAGTATTAAGTGTAATTATCATAGGGAAATCTAGTCTAGTCAACATTTAAAAAAAAAAAAATGTAAAAAAAAATCCTGTTTTCCTTTCTAGTTTACAAGCAAAGGAAAGAATATAGCAGGAGGCAGATTATTTTCTATTCTCTATAAATTCTTAATTTGCAATAATACTTACTATTTAAAGTCTTTAATGAGATTTTTGTGGATCTTCATGCAAAAATCCTCCACTGTGGTCTTGCAGTAAGGTAGTACCACAGGAGAGGTGTAGTCTGGGAGCTGCCCTTTAGGTTTGGTGTAGCTGTAATGCAGATGGAACAGTCAGTCAATACCAAAACCTCCTCTTCTCTTTCAACCCACCATGAAATTTCATTGTCATTCGCACTGTCATCGTAGGTGCTTGTGCCAAGTTCCACTATTTCAGTGGTAACAACAGATACCCTGTCAATTGTTTGGTGTTCTTAAGCTGAAAATGTATCTGGGTAGCTAATGACTGCAGCTGGTTTCTCCCTTGTAACTGCAAAGGTTTTTCCCTAATAAGCTTTCTGTACTTGCTTAAAAGATGAAATGTAAAAGAACATCTACAGTATTATGGTTCCAAATTGTGATTTTTTTTTTTTCTCCTGTGAAAAACTCAATGTATATTAGGAAAAAAACTGACAAAGTCTATAGCCCAGGTAACTAGACATACTAAATCCCTTTTTACAATAGATTTTATATTGTCACAAGAAGATAGATACCAGTTTAAAAGACTGCAATTACTGTATTATGAGTACTAATAGATTCATTTGTCAATTCATCTAAAGAAATGCTGAAGTGCTAGATGAAGAACTAAATTCAGTTCTGTTAAAGAGCTGAATGCATGACAGACTGAAAAGAGGACTGCCTCTGAAATTCACAACTTTGCACTAAGGTTGACAGGAATTCCATGCTTTCAGAAATTTTTTAAGATGTACTTTGGACTTAGTTTCACAAGGTCCTCATTTAATCCCCCTACAAGTTCAAAACGTAGCACTTGTGACTGTTAAGAAACTGTCCATCACACAACAGACGAAGAGCACAGTTCCCGATTTACAGAGTAAACACACTTCAGTGACAAAAGACATCATCATTTGAAAGCTAGCAAAAAACCATTCTAAAATAATCATAATTCATCCATTCTTGAGACATTCTTCAGTCTCAGCCTCACACTTCACTCTACAGAAGGCAGCAATTGGGACTCACATTCGTACTAGCTTCAAGTAGTCCCAAATTTTCTCCAGCAGATCATCAAAGTTCCAGCGGTGATGAGCAGATATCGGTACACAGTGGGGTACTTTGTAAATAATATCTAGTTCCTCGATGGAAATTTGGTCAATTTTATTTAGGACGTAAATGCATGGGATGTAAACCCTGCAAAGAGAAGGCAATACTGTTAGAGCAGCCTAGCAGCAATACACTGCTTCTGAGAAAGCTTCATTTTTTAGAAGGACAGTAAGGTGCTAAACAGCACCTGTTGATACCACATTGCTAGTTTAGCTTCTGTGGGAAGCAAACCTCAGAGACCTCTTTTCTTTGGAATATAAATTGCAAGTATGCCAAACCCAGGGTGCCAACAGTACCTGTTCCCTTCAACAACGTCAATTAGGTCGTCAGCAGTGGCATCGCTGCGCAGTGTGACATCAGCATTGTGAATTTTATACTCTGCTAAGATGCTCTTCACTGTTTCAGTATCCAGCTCACTCTGAGGACACTGAATGTAGACACAGTATTAAGGAATGGAAGAGTTTACAGTCAAATTCAAGTACTACAATTAATAATGCTATCACCTAGCAATCACTGCATATAGATTACTATAAATAATAGCTGCAATGTAAATTATTGGACTTGACTATGATTTTACCATCGTTAGCCTCAGGAGAGGGGAAAAAAGATATAAATCATAAACAGCTTTATTTATATTAATGCTGCACCGATAGCTGCCATCAGACACTTCAGAAGCAGTGTTTCCCGTCAATCTGCGACGAGCTGCAATACAAACCCATGTTCTACTAGTTCAGTGCCCAGAGAACTACATGTCAGGTACTTAAATCTCAGAGCTGAGTTCTGATTTTTAGTATCTCTGGCTATTTCTATGCTTTAAAGATTCAGTGGTAAATGGGAAATGAGGAGTAGTCGAGGTTGCAAGGCCTGGAACTCTGAGCAATCTTCTCCAGAAGAATGCTGTAGCTACCACGCATGATGCAGTTTTTGCACACTCTCCTTTGGTCCTCAGAACTTGTAATTATTGGAAAGCAACCAAGCGTCTGATTTGGGGGTGGGGAGGTGGTCAGGCTCCTAGGACAGGTATGGGTGGCCTCCAGGAAAAGTAACTACAGCACAGTACAGTTCAACTTCTAAAGAAGTCATAGCACAGGAATGGTCCCAGGCACACTATTAACTGCAAATGCCTCTCTTCAAGCAATTTTTTTTAAATTTTGGTTAAAAAAAACTTCCAACTTACTGTGGCTGTAAGGTTAATGCCTCCTTTATCCTTTTTTTTAAAGCCAATATTGGGGGGCTTACTATTCAGACGAATTCCAAATCCTTCCAGTTCATTCTCAATTATTTTCTTGTGACCAAGGGGTTTCAGCACATCCAGAACAATCAGAATGAGATTACAGGTTCGAGCAACTAAGAATCAGAAAAAGAAAGTCATCTCTCAAAGGAGTACGCCCAGACAGTGTGAGACAAAACAACACAAAATATGGCTCGGTGGACTGATGACAACATTAAACATATAAATCAGCCTGAAGGCCAGCACATTAGTTATTTTTAAATTCCAGTATAAGACTTAAGTTTTGTAGTGCTGGCCAAGCATCACTAATGCACAGATTCTTACATGTTATAAGAATCACAGAGGCTGGAAAAATCTTCCTTCCTGTCTACATTCAGACCCCGGACTGATGACAATAAGCCAGGTGAAGAAATGAAGACAGCAGCCTTATTTAATATGGGCTCACAACTGCCTTCAAAATTGGTAATATACCTTCCCTGCCGTGTCAACGCAGAGCACAAACTCAGCAAATACATAAAGCCAGAACTGAAACAGAATGAAATGAAAATGGCTACTGCTTTACAGCAGGCAGCTCAATTCCAGCAATTCCAGCACACAACTCAGCTTTTTAAAGACAGCAGAAACAGTGATTCAACCCTTCATTCTCAGAAGCTGTACTAACCAAACCAGTGATAGGATGCTGCCTCCAGCTCCAATATCCTCACCTGCAATGACTTGCCGTCCTCTGCCTTTACCATCCTTGGCACCTTCAATAATTCCTGGGAGATCAAGTAGCTATTTGTTCAGAGGAAGAAAAGTAACTCATGAGAAAAATGTTTTTCTTCATGGAGAAAATAAATCCTACTTTTATGTTTCTCCTAAACCAGCTGACTCTACTGCAAATCTGAATAGAATATGGCAAAATTGTTTCCCCTTTGATTCTTACATATTGTATTATCCCTGATGCCCTATCATCTCATAGGGATGAGAACTACCATAGATGAGAACTACCATAGACACTTCTCCCCAGAGCAAGTGAAAAGCAGGATAAAATGAGTACCTCATGGAAACACTTCCAATGTATTCTCAAGCACTTCTACATGTCACTTCTAACCTGCTAATGTCAGGCTAGACCATTCAGCCGTAACACCACTGTATCTACATACACAATCTTATCCTCACAGACAGAAAAAGACCTCACCTGTATCTTTGCTCCTTTGTATCTAATGACTCCAGGCACAGTCGTTAGCGTAGTGAATTCATATGCTGCCACTTCAGAGTATACACCAGCAAGATTACTTAGAAGAGTAGATTTCCCCACTGATGGAAAACCCACAAACCCAATTCGGGCATCACCTGTCTTTGCAACATCAAAACCTGCAAACAAGGAGTAAAAATATTTGTTTAAAGATTGACATTTTCTGTCTTCTAAGGAACCAGACAGCAGTGCCACTATTACTTTTAATATTTCCAGAGTCAGGTAACCTTCCCTACAAGGAGGATGAGAGCATGAAATAGAGAGGTCACAATCTATATTGCTTTGCACCACCTTGTCTGTTTAACACTCCATAGCATGTACCTGTCAGTAAAGCGTAGGCTGCAAGGCTTCCCTTCCCCAGTGAGCTATACTTGACTTGAGTGTAGGTGGAGCATTCCCTTTAAGCATTGCAGCTTAGACAATTCACACTTTTATATATAAAAATAGGTGGCTCCTGCAAGATGCTTCATCACATAAAACCCCAAAGACTTCTGCAAATACCGGATTCTATCAGCCAAAAGGCAGAAGCCCTTTCATTTACACTTCAACAAGGGGTCCCCTCCAAAGCCCGGGAAAGGGCCACCAGCCACGGCTGAGGTCCTGTACCGGGAGGCACAAGGGGGAAAGAAGAAGGTTGCTCCGATTTACTCAGCAGACAGTCTGACACGATCTAAGCAGACTAGAGCCACCCCCGTTGATCCATTTCCGTCACACACCCCGCACGTCGACAGCGAGGAGCGGCCACTTCTGCAGAGGCGGCCGGAGCCTTCCCGCAGAACAACGCACCTTCCCCGGG